CTGGTCCAGAAATGATGGTAAACAGAAAAATTCCTGCTCCTGCCGAGAATGAAATCCACGTTCATATCATAGCCTACTTATACTTAAACTGTTCAATGTATCATCAAGTAATGACAATAACAATTATGATAACAATAAAGAAATCCCTATACCAACTGAGGTATGAAAAAATAAAAGCTGATGAATCAACAAACGTAGAAACTGACCTCTTCAGGAAACGTTCTCTGATACTAGCATACTGAGTGTCGTCGTCACTGCTGTCTGTGTCGCTCTCTGAATCGCTGCCCCAGTCAGTTGAGTCTTCACTGCCTTCATCATCTTCAACTGGCTTCTACACGAAGAAAATATAACTATGTAGGATTTGAGGTTTTCACGGCGATCAGTCTGAAGATTTCCGTCTTCTGGGTTGTGCGCCACGTAGTCTGTTAGATGTTAACCAACGTTTCAAGAGATCCATGCTGATGATGGAGGTGGCATGGACCTCTGAAATATTGGTGGACATCTACCAGACTACACAGCGAACAACCCAGAAGATGGCAATCTTCAAAACATAACCACAGTAATATAAATTAGTTCTTTGTAATACCAAGAAATACTCTTTCAGAAGTGAGATTTTAAGTTCTCCTAGCGCTGAATATAAAGATGGCTATCTTCTGGGTTGTTTTGCTGTGTTAACCTGGTATAAATATGATCTGAAGCTTTTGCGGCATCTTCTCAGGCAATCAGAAGCGACAAACGGTACCATTTGACGTGGCTGTCAGCCTGGCAGAAATTTACCAAGTTTAACTTTCAACCAGACTACACGGAGTAACAACCCACAAGACAGCCATCTTTAGGCTGTAAGGAGATAAGAATTTGTACATACATCCCTTCGTGCACATACGGCAATCATTAGTGATGTGGTTACCACAGCAGCCACCAAGGATCAATGAACATGGATGTATTAAAATTTTCAGTTCTATACTTAACATCAGAAAACATTACTTCAAACACTGAATGCTGAACCATGGACAGCCATTATATCAACCATGACATTTACAGAGAAATATAAAAGATGATAGAACTTACCTTTATTATTTTTGATTCTGTGGCACTAGATTCAGAACCAGCTTTTCTAAATGAAGATGGTCTTATATCTTCAGGTTCTGAATCATCTTCACCTTCTACGAAGAAATAAAAAAAAGACAAAGTTAATGTTTTTTCAATGCTCTGGTTTGTAACAGTAAAAAAAATTCCAGATACTTTTCATAAGTATCTTAAAATGTAATGTCTGTTATAAGCATAGATAATAGTACCAACTGTACATTATTCACATTACCTTTCTCTTCATCTTCTTCATCTTCAGCCTGATCAGGATTTTCACGGAACTTCGCAATATCCAATTCAAATTCTTTGTTATATTTACGAAGTTTCTGACGCAGAGATGACAAAGATTTGGAGTTGTTTTTTGACATGTTTTTCCTACAGAAACAAAGAAAATTATTAACAAATCAGAAATATATAAGATTTGAGGTTTTCACATCGGTGAGTATGAAGATTTCTGTCTTCTGAGTTCTTGCGCTGTGTAGTCTGGTCGATGTTAACCAACGTTTCAGAGGTCATACCGCCTCCATCATCAGGGCGATGAGTATGAAGATTTCTGTCTTCTGG